GGGCGGGGGAGCCGGTCTGGCTGGATGTGTAGGCAGTGTGGAGGATTTCAGAGCTAGCCTTGAAAGCGGTAATTCCTCATTCTTTTCCCCCTCCTCGGCAGCTCGGACTCCGAAGGTAATTTTGAGACCCCTGAAGCAGAAACGCCAACCCGCTTGCCACAAAAGGAGTTCTGCGAGCCATTGCCGGGATCGCCGGAACCTGAGGCCGGGACCCAAGGTAAGGAGCCAGCGTGCACCTTCTGCTTTTTGGCTCTCCGCTCCGGATACGGAAAGGCAGGGTGGGGTCAAGGAGGAGAAGTCGCTTGTTTTGAATAATGCCTGCTGCATTTTTTGTGGTTAATGGCCTGGATGGTTCAAATGCCAGTACTTGGGGCTGCGCACTCGGCAAAGGGCTATTCTCTCGCTTGAGTGAAACGTTGATTTTATTGAATCACTTTGGAGCGAGGGGGCTGCACTGCAGGCTCCGAAAAGTCAATTTGCCTTTCTTGGCTCATGCCTACGCAGTGCAAAATTATTATTGTGCTGTTTTGCAATGACCGGTCGCACCCTGCCGCTGTCCCCGAGCGAGAGACTGCGGGAGGCAAAGCTCTGCCCGTTGGGTTTTGTGAGCTCCTGCGCCCAGGGATGCAGAGGCTGCAGCTGGGACGGCTGCGATGAATTGATCGAGAGGAACCGAGGATGTGGTTGAATCATTTTGTCTGTTAAACTGCCTTCTGCCGTTTCCCCCCTAGACTGCCCAGCACTGGGGCTGTGGGGAGTGGGCTGCTGGCTGGTGGGAGCTGCCCTACACATGCCCCGTGTGCCGCTCGCCCTTGGCTCTTGCGCAGGAGCTGATGTGGTGCTGGGTTTGTATCTTCCACCCCAGGGACGGTCAGTGGTGGAGGTTTCATTGCACAGGTCTTTTTTTTTTTAATCCCTGGAGTTAGCGGCCAGGTGTCTTTGCTGTGTAGCTGCTGTTAAAGATGCAAAAGCTCAATGCTGCTAAACACCATTTTTGGAGAAATTGCGGGGGATCTGGTGAAAACACAGGGAGTTTCCTTTGCCAGTGCGGTCCCGTCCTGTTGCGTGTTTATTCTTGTGTCTCAAGGCACAGCTGAGCACAGCTCCCCATTAACCCTTGGCCTTTTGGGGACCATCTCCTCCCCCATCACCATACCCTTCTCTCCAGGGGGAATTGCGGTTGGTGTCCCTGGCTGAGTTTGGCGTTGATGTTTGTTTTCGTGCTGCTGGGAGGAGGCTTTGAAGCTCCGGCACCTCTGCAACAACTGCTGGAGGTTATCGGGAAAGGGCAAGGAGGAGACCTCCTCTTTCCTCTGCTCTCTCAGCAGAACAGGGTGACTGGGCAATGTCAGGATGTCTGTGAGCCCCTACGGGGGTCTACGGGTGGGCAGCCTCTCCGGGGCATGGGGGCAGTGTGTGAGGGGGCCGGGAGGTCCTGGATGGGCCGTCCTGAGCATCCTCTGTCCTCTCTTGCCCGACTGCCTCTCCCTGTGTGATCTGCAATGTTGCATTTTTCTTGAATGCTCACAACGGTGGGCTGGTAGCTTACTGCTTGGCTGGTTTCGGAGGGTGCTTGCTCGAACCAGACCCTGGGTCCTCCCCGTGCAGGAGCCCAAGTACTGCGTGACCTTGGCAGTAACAGGGTGCTGTGGCTCTCCATCTCCTGCGGTGTTGGGATGGATCTGGGTGCCCATCCATCCCCGTGGAAAACGCAGGTTTGTTTGCCTTGATGGAGAGAGCGTTTAATTCCCGCTTCCCATAATTGCAGCTCTTGGAATAATCCTTCCCTTTTAAGAAGGGATGATAGAGGCATCTTTACTTTAGGGGATAAAGTCTGGGGAGGGGGAGAGGGGAGATAAAGCCTTTTCCTAGCAGGTATAAGGATCATTTCTGCCAAAGCTTCTGCTCAGGGGAGCATGTTGCCTCAGACTCCGGGGTGTGCCTGTGCCCCTGCATCCTGGGATGAGCAGTTCCTCGAGGCCAGCCCGGCACAGCAGTGAGGGAACCGGCTGCTCCCAGCACACAAAGGTCTCAGTGTTGCGAGGCTGAAGGGATGATCTCCGGCAAAAGCTGTTTTTCCGTGCTGGCTGATGGTGAACGGGATGTTGGAGATGGCAGGGCCAAACCCACAGTTCCACCGCACCCAGCTCCAGCCCTTCTCTGCCCGGGGCTCCGGCTGCATCTCTTCATTCTCTCTGAAACAGTGGAGGGAAGGGAATTACCCAGGTGTGGTTGTGAGTTTGCAGTGTGCAGAAGGCATCCTGGCACGTTAAATCCCCGTACCTTAGGTGATCTATCCAGTAAGCCCTCATCTTCGCAATGCTGTGTTGCAGCGGCGCTTGCCCTTTCGTCTGGCTGCAGCTCAGGAGCAGCAAAGGTAATAAATGATCGTGATCGGGAGGCGATCCAGCGTAATGGCTGCTTGTCGATATTGAAACAGCCGAGCTGTCGCATACCCTGCAATCGTTGGGGAATACCTGCTGCCGATGCCTGTGTGTACCTGGGCCAGCACGGGGAGGGCAACCGTACCAGCCCAGACCTAGGGGCAGGCACAGCATCTCCCAGGCTTGGAGGGACTGGGAGGAACAGACGTTCTTGGCTGTCTTACAGCTGCAGTCTGGCCCTTACTTGGGAATAAATAGGGTTAGGAAACTCCTAAGATAGAAGGGGCTGGCTGGGCTGCACCGCAGCTGAGAAGTGACCTGGATGCATTAAACCCTGTTCTCGAGGACAAAAATTCAGCTGGTCCCATTGCCCCTGGGCTGCGGTTAGGCTTTATGCCTGTTCAGGATCACTCAGTTTTCCTCTTGCTGTTTCTGTCTGCTGTAATTCTGTCCCGTTCTCGCTAAAATTATCTTCAGCCATTTGTCAGAAGAAGATAATTCTGTGCAAGGAAATGAGCAGAAGTAACAAATATGGAGCCGTCAGTGATGGGAGCAGGCTCATCCGCTTTTACTTCTGTTACCCTGATGCAGGGCACGTGTTTTCCGGTGCGTTAGTGGCAGCATCGTTTGCCGGTATGCTAATTCTTAACAGAATAGATTTAAAAATAGATCAACGTCTGTTATACAAAAGCGGAAAGCCAAAAGAGGAAAAAAAAAAAGAAGTCGTTAGCTACGGAAGCCTAAGCTGAATGTACCGGCCAGATATCCTGTGCTCGGTTTGCGTGTGCAAGTGAGCTGGGAAAGGGAGAAATGTGTGAGTCATGCTGTGCACAAAGCGTGAGCAGAATCAAAGGCTGCAGATAGTGGAGGGGTTGTTCTCGCCGGCGTTTGGCATTCAGGGCTGTGCAAAGGATCGTTGCTGCTTCGCTTGGTTGCTGTATGTGGGATGAAAAGGGCACAGAGCCTTTGGATCGCGGCATTGCTGCTGCCAAGTTTTTCTGATTCATTTAAGGGAGCGAGGGATGGCATGGAGGAAAGCTGTTTAGTCAGTGTTTGTGTTTAATTTCAGCCTAAGGAAGAGAAGCGTAACGATTAGAATGCACATGCACAAAGTGTCTATTACTGCGGTGCCAGACTGTCCTGTCTGTACATTTTCCTTTAAAGAGTCACCAAAAAAAAAAAAATTTCAAAAATCTCCATTTTCACTTTGTAATATCCCCTCCACATACGCTGGCCGGACCAGAAGCAGGATTGCACCCAGTGCACAGCTGGTACAACTGCTGTTTTCAGGGATCCAAAATGCCTTTTATTGGATCTGTGTTTGGGATGGATCCTGGAGTCACCGAGCGTGCCTTGCTGCTGGTAGTCTCCGTTTTCATGGTGGGCTTAAAATGTCTGCACCTGCAGGGCACAGTGCCAGAGGTGAAATGAGAGACCTCGGGGTCACCTTTTCGGGATGCTGCAGAAAAGCATCAGCTGGGATACCTGTGAGAAGACCTGGTCCAAGGGGAATAGCTATGTGCGGTGGGTTGGCGTGTGTGGCAGCCTGGTTGCCAGATTGCCTTCTCCTGGGGTCCCGTGGGGTATTCAGCACAGTTTCACCCCAAAAGGAGGGTTAGGGCAGCGAGATGGTTGGCGAGGCAATTAGGCTGGGGAGGCACTGGTTGTTTTTGCAGACGGGTTTCCCTGGCAGGAGACGTGAGCAGAAGGAGTGTGTACTGAGCCGGCGCGGTGACGGCACGGGGGTGGTGGAGAGCTGTGCTCGCTTCGGGATGTAAATGCATGCAGAGGCTGTGGAGGAACGGGGAGAGCCGCACGCAGCTCTACCGGGATTGGGAAGGGCTCCCTGGGGAATAGGCAGTGCTGCACCAAGGTTATCACGATGCTCGTACCCAGCAGAGCCAGGCAGCGGTGGGGGTCGGAGGGCAAACCTTGGCTCTTCCCAAGCTCCCCGAGGCCCTTTGGGTCACTGCTTTCTGCATCCTGAGTAATTGTTCCCGCAGGAACACGCGCTCCGGTCATTTGGCAGCTGATGGGAGGCTGCATTGGAGGTAGAGGAAATGCACAGGGGGAGGAACTGCAGTCGCCTGGCTGGGGCTGGGGGGGCTTCGGGCCAGGCTGTCCCCCCACCTCCAGCCCTTGCTGGGCACGAAGACCCATGTGGGGTGGGTTTGTCTGGGATGCCATCGCCTTTGGGACTGCTTTACCGGGGAGGGGGGGGTTGTCCTGCTCTCCTCAGGAGGTGCAGGGGCTGGGGCTCTGCATCCTGGCGAGAGACAGCTGAAGCGCTGGATGGTGCCCTGGGAGCACCCATGGTCCTGGCAGGTCCCAATGGCGAGGGCTCTGCCCCGCAAACCATGGCACTCTTCATCCTGGCAGCACTCTCCAGAGAATTAATTGACCTCGTAGCTTTGCCTGCCTTTGTCCTGTGTATGGAGCGATCTCTGGTGCCAATGCAAGCCCGTCCCAGAGTAGCCTCAGCCCCTGAGACTGTGGTCCCCTGGGGAGGTGAATAGCTCAGCCCAAACAGCGTTGAAAATGGGGGTTCTGGGGCATTATGTGAGTGTTCGGGGAGGGCAGGGTCTTGTGGTGGAGGTGGGCAGGCTCCTCGCTGCTCCTTCAGCTCTCGTTCCTTCCTCTCGGTTCCCTTGGGCTGGTGCTCAGACACAACGCTGAGCGTGGCTCTGAACTCACACAAGTGATGAATACCTGCCTTGTATCCGTGGCCTCTCCAGAGAAGGGGAAAAAAACCCCACCGAGCTCGCAAGAGGGATGATCCTACTTCAGAACATTGCCAAAATCACAGGCTGAGCTGTCCTTCACCTGCACCTTCTGTGTCCCAGTATATTCCAGTTCCTCAGCTCTCAGACTGGGCTGTGCTGTGCTGTAGGCAAGGGGAGTGGAGCAGCTCAGCTGTCTTGAGTGCAGAAAATGTGTAAATCACAAAATTGGAAGACCTGGGCGGGTGGTTCTTCTAATTTTTTGTGAAGAAATGGTTGTTCCGAGTGATGCTCCAATGTGCCATCCCTTCTTCTCTCCCTGCCCTTCAGACATCCACAGCGAGGAGAGGTGGTTTGTGTGCCGACTGCTTGTTTATTCAAGAAGTAATTACTCATTGCTTGAGTTAGAAACCAGGATGGGCTTACGTCTGTGAGAACGGCGGCTGCAAAACCTTCCAGTGGGAATGTAAAATGCATTTAAAAGGTGCCTTTTGCCCTGACTTTGAAGTCTGTTCTTCTATTCAGGGCTGTCTCAGTGAGGTTTAAAACATCTAAGCAACACAGCAAGTGTAATAAAGTTTTCTTTGGGGTCTGTTAAGGAGGTTTTCCTGGTTCCTAATGATGGAAAGGCCTGGCAGGCGCTGCCTCAGAGTGTTTTCTGGCCGCGCTCCAGGTACGTATCCACTGGATTTGTGTTTACTGATGCGTTTTCTGGGGCAGCAAGGCAATGTCTATTCGGAAGGAGCTTTTTTGCAGTCAGAGGGAGCTTTTTTTTGCAGTCTCAGGGAGTGCACAGCCCCTCATGATTCATTTCCATGGCTTTTAGCATCCTGGAGATCAATTATGCAAACCACAAGCCATCAGCTGAGTCAGGGTTCTTGGATCAGTGTCCTGGATTAGCCCAGGGACCAGATATTTGCCTGATTCACCTTTTTTTTTTTTTTTTTTTTTTTCTTCTGCCAGCCTGTGACTCGGTTACCAGCAAATGTGAGCTGGTTGCAAATGCCCCGCGATAGGAACAGCCTTTCCAGGGAGATGAGCTCGGTGCTGTGGGTACGTGTGGGGCTGCGGGAGCTTGTCGTTGGCATCCTCCAGCCAGACCTTCTCTCTGCAAAACAAGGGCATGCTCAGCGTGACTCCCCTCCGCGACTGTCACCTGTGTACCAGGGCACGGTTGCAGCAGTGGAGGGGGACAGGGCAGATTCCCCCAAAACAAGCTCTGCATCACCCATCCCGCTGTTCCCAGCCAGGTTTTCAAACCAGTTTGGTCCTTGGGTGAGCACTGGTTTTGCTCTGCCCTTGGAGGACCTGGCTGGGTTGCATCTCCCCAGAAAGGTGCCAGTGAGAGCTGCGGGTCCTGCGTGCTACCTGATGGGTGCTGAGCACCCTAGCATCCCGTTCTGCCTTCTCCCAGGAGTTTGTGCGATTTTCCCTGGTTGAGAAGAGGTGCAGATGAGCTGGGCAGAGGTGACACCGGGTGTTTTCTCCTTGTGCCTTTGCACGTCTGTGCTGAGGCCCTGGCTGTAGGTGCTTGGTGGGTGTAGCTTTCAGGATACCTTGGTAGATAAGGAGCTTCCCCATCCCTTGACAGCAAAGAAAAGATTAAACAGTAAAAGGATTTAGGGGACGGGATTGGAGTAATAGTGATTAAGTCATGGATCAGGATTTGTGATTACGAAACTCTGACAGCAGTGCAGTGAGCCTGGCATCGATGTGTGGGCAGGATTTCTGCAGACAGCGATGCAGGCAGCGTGTGGCCGAGTTCTGGCGGGCAGGACGGCAATCATGGGCAGGCACGGTGCTGAGCAGAGTGGCTCCGAGCACCTGCACCCCGCTGCCGACAGGCACTGTCCTCCGGGCTTGTCCCTCTTTGGGGGTCTCATTGCTCTGCTGTGCCCCCCTTCCCTCCCACCCTATCCCCAAATGCACGCAGGGTTTTTGCTCTCCCAGGGCTTTTGGGTCCTCGCGTTGATGCGTTGCAATGACAGTTTGTGAGCAAGAGCATTGACCACATGTGGCTGCTGTATCTGGAGCTCCCAGTTTACGGGGAACCTTCCCAGTTTACAGGGGACCTTCTCAGTTTACAGGGGACACTCCCGATGGCCTCGTGTCTCCGGCAGTGGCGGAGCGAAGCCTTGGCATGGGCAAGGACTGTCCATACCGTGCTGCAGCCCTGTGTTGGGTGTCAGAAGTTGAGGGTCTGCAGGAGAGCAAGGGCTGGGGTGTCGGGGGAGAGCAGCGGTGCTGTCAAACCCACTCCAGCACCTTGGGGTGCAGCGGCTCAGTCCTGGGGAGCAGTTTGCATTGGTCAGCTTTCTTCTGCCTGGTGCACATCCAGCTCTGCAGCCCTGGCACCAGGTATCTGTGGGCGGGGGATCCCCAAATCCCCTCTGCAGCCTGTTCCGTGCCTATTCATTAAGCACAGCATCCTGTTCCCATTCACCTTGGGGCCTGCTTATTCACATTTCGTGATGTTTTCTCCTGTCATGCTTCCCTGAATTCCTCTCAGTGATTTTTTTAACTCTCTGCCCAGGTGAGCAGTGACTCCCTGTTGCTGCCATTCCCACTCGGATGCGAGTGGTTCTGCCCTCGGAGCAGCTGTCCCACGGTCGGTCCCGCGTGGTGTCTGGCCCTTGGGAGCCTCACTGGGTTTTGCAAAGCCTCTCTGGTGCTGTCACCAACCTGGGTGGGAGAGGAAAGGCATTAAATGAAGATGTTGGTAGGTCTCTTGGCATGATGCAGATGGTGCCTCCTCCTCCTTGACATGCAGTTTATGTACGTTTTCTCTGCTGTGTTCATGGGCTTCAAATTTTACAGAAAATACTTGAAGCTGGGGTTACGCAGTCATTCTGGCAGGTGAGGAAGCTGAGCTTTGGGTCAGTGGAGCCTCTGTAAAATCTGACCCTGGAGCAGCTGTGAAGAAGGGAGAGAAATCCACAGGCAGGTGGGGGTTTAACTGGCTCCTTTTATCTTTTCAGAGCCAAGTGGCTATGCTGACCTGCTGGTAGGAGAAGCCCAGTGGGACAGCTCACCTGCGAAGCACCCCAAAGATGAGGCTCAACTGGACACCAGAGCCCCTAAATCCAGCTCGGATACTAAAGGGGAAACCGATCCTGAAGACTCATCCCTGACACAGCCACCGGCTGAAACCCAGCCTCCAGATACGCTGGGAAGCAGGGCTGACGCTGGCTGCACTGTCGTGCCCGCTGCAGAGCCAGCCCCGGTGCCCGATGTGGGCAGAGCCGCCCGGGAACGGGTCATGTC